CAGCAGCAATGAGCTGCTATTTCACGCTGTTATTCTATGTGAGCGTGGTCCCCGGTTGAGCCGACTCAATCATGCTACAACCATAATATAGTTGCAGCATGGCTCTACCACGTATAACGTTGTTTGTCTGACACTGATCATAATACAAAATTCGCTACAGCTGATAAACGATAACAGGCCAGACATAATATTTTAATGTTGATACGTTATCAAAATATTTTCAATATTCCATTTTGCAACGTGATAGTTCCGTGTTGCGACTATATTATGGTAGCAGAGCGAATATGTCGGCTCAGTCGAGGAAAGACTACGCTCTCTCACAGAATAGCAGCGGAAAAAGCAGCATAATGCTGCTGTGTTTAGTATGGGGAGTGTAGAGAACCGGAGTATTTTTACTGGTAACGAAGCATACTGTTTTAGTCTTCAGGGGTGACAATGCTTTACATTTTGATTCATGATCGAGGGTAGATGTAGATGTCTATGGCCCACAGCATCCATTTACCATCAGGTGGACTGTGTGTTCGTTTTTTACTCTTATAGCATAAAAAATAAAGATTACTCTTCAATATAGAAGTAGGTAAATAAGTTATTATATTTATTATGTTACATCGTCCAAAACTGTATCACCGCTTACCATTACGTGGGATCGCAGACAAGCACTAGCTAATAATGTATTAAAAACATATGGAAATTATCGTAAAATTTTGTATGTCATTATTCAATATCCTTTTTGTAAAAAAAAAAAATCCTGCCACTGCTGGGTACAGGTCGCCTGTCATTTCTAACTTTCTAGGGCTTTATAGAGCTTTGCAGTTTTACAATATTTTAAAATTAAAAATTTTGTGCAACCGACTTCAATATAAATTATTAAGAATAACTCAAAAACTATTGGTCAGACCTTGAACAAATTTATATAGGACCACATGTGAAGCACCAGCTTTCAAATAAAAATAGAATCATCGAAATCGGTTCACCCAGTAAAAAGTTAAGAGGTAACACACATTAAAAAATATACAATCGAATTGAGTACCGGCTCCTTTTTGAAGTCGGTAGAAAAGAAACGCATCTACTATTATAGCAGTACAATGCTTGTATGCATTAGCATCGTAAATAAAGATGCAGTCTGGTTTCCTCTTACAGTTTTTAAAATTCCTTTAATTCGACACCTGCGCATAGCAAACAAGAGAAGTTGTCACTCGTATTTATGTTTGTTTATAATCATAACGATAATGATTTATTTGCATCAACGTATGTATTTAAATGTCTTTGTTTTGCATGAAGTTTGGTACATATTTCACATTTATTATCGGTACAAATCGCAAATAATATGCAGTGCTTAGCGTACAATTAATTTCACAATATACAGAGAGTTTTGCATGTACCGTGCTGTAAAATAAAAATACAGATTATGCGGTAAATTATTATATTTATATATCCTTTATTGCAACATAACTTCAACTAGGAGCTTTAAAGGCCGTACTTAATGCCTTATGGCATTCTCTACCAGTCAATCCTAAGAAAGATGGAATAAATAAAGGTGTTGGTAGGTGCAGATTAAAGACAATAAAAAAAAGATAAAAATTTGTTTTAAAGATAAACAGGTAAAGTTAAGTATAGCTAAATACATTACACAATACAAAATTACAGAAATACATTATATAAATACAATGTACAGAACACGCGCGGGTACGCGCACACGCGCACACGCGCACACGCGCACACGCGCACACGCGCACAGGCGCACACGCGCACAGGCGCACACGCACACACGCACACACGCGCACACGCGCACGAACGCACGCACGCACGCACGCATGCACGCACGTACGCACGCACACAATTACAACTCATGAAATCCAATTGTAATAAATTCCACGCAGACGAAGTCGCGGGGAACAGCTAGTTTTAAAATAAATAACAACAAACTAAATACAATTTAATGTCAAATACAATCTAATATACCAACGATATTTTGTATTATTATTTACTATATATTTTATATGCGTGGAAGAAATTACGACATACGGCCCTGTTATACTATTAATATTTTGTTATTTTGCTTTTAAATCGATCGATCGCTTTTAAAATGGTTGCTATGATATGTGAGAATAAGGAAAATATGTTATTATACGTGTTTTCTGAATAATGATGTATCCAATATTTTACCACAAAACGTACAGATATTTGTTTCACTGCAAGGTTTCAACGTCTTTGTGCTTTTCATATTGATATTTCAAACAGCATTTAATCAAGATACATTCTGATCTGTTTCAATTCACCTGTTTCAATTTCCCCTGTGGCCTTTTGCACTGTCACTACAAGTTTCTGCATAATCTATGCTTATTATTAATTCTACGTTGTAACAGTCTGCTTGAAGTACTTGAAATATTTCTACTTGCGAATGTTGCCAGTACATTTATATTAGACTCTATTAGAAATGCGCTATATAAAGGAACATTTAAGTGTTAATGTAGAGTACACAGTGAAGTGCCTCTTTCATTATCTCGCGTAGTGATAACCTGACAACCCGATATCGTTTTATCGCTTCAGTGGCGAAATCAACTTTGATGCATGTTAATTGAAAGCGTTTGTTGTGATTTTACTCATTATATATAAAAGGGAAGTTGTAATCGTCCCACTGCTGGACCATAGGACTTCAGTGTTTCGTATGGTGAGTGTAGAGAATTGTAGAACCGTTTTAACTGGGAACGAGGCATTCCATCTGTCTGTTAAAATCAAAATGTAGATAAGTTGCCACAGAATAAATAATAGTACTACATACAGAAGTCGCACTCCTTTCCAGGCCTCTTTCACTCTTGCTCTTGCTACCTGTGTGAAATAATTACCTACAATCGCGAGGGCGCCCCCGGGATAGAACGCAGTCGGGGCTAGCGCGTTCTAGGCGATTGAATGTTAAAGTTTTTTTTACGCTGTATCTGTATACGTAAATAGTTTGTTGTAAATACATATTGAAATGTAGAACCTGTTACGACCTGTTCAGTTGATCCGCGCGAGTTGAGACGGACAGAGACGTATAGATGCAGGAATATAAAGGATATAAAGTGACAAACAGGCTTGAACAAAGTCTTTCACTTTTAAAATAGGATGTACTCACACTCAGTATCATCCTTATCTTCTTCTGCGACGTCTCAGCCTTCGGTATAAAATCCATAAGCAAATTGCCTCCTCCACGTCCATTCCCAAGCAATGTTGATTGATGATGCCAGACTGCCGCACGTACATATGCCGTCATGTGAATGCTTCCAACGCGCGGTGACGCGCGGCTTCGCGCGGTTATATGAACTTTGTTTTATAGGATAGGGTGACAAACGAACAAATAGTGCACCTGATGGTAAGTGGTTGCTGTGACCCATAGACATCCACATTTATCCTAAATAAAGAATCAAAATGCAGATACATCGTCACCCGTGAGGACTAAGATGGAATGCCTCTTTTCCAGTAAAATGGGTTTCCGGTTCTCTACACTCACCATACGTAACACAGCAGAATTAAGCTGCTATTTTACGCTGGTATTCAGTGAAAGCGTGGTCCTTCCCCGGTCGAGCCGACCCATTCGTGCTACAACTATACTACTAATATAGCTGCAGCATGGCTCTACCACGTATAAACTTAACTTAGCCTTAAGAATACAATTAACTTCTGAGAGAATCTTTCAGGTACCTAAGTATGTATTTTTATGGCGGATTTTTCAATCGTCAGAGGATAAAATACAACATAAACAAATTAAAAATTACACTTGTATAAATAAAATAGTTCCATTGTTTAACTTTTATATTTAGACAGGTTATAACTATTCGACGACCATTTGCTTTCCTAAAAAAACTCCTGAGGTTGGCAATAAAAATATTAAGGGTCACTTATCGGAATAAAAACTATCCTATCTCTCAAGTTGGACCAAACTGCACACAGTGTGCAAAATTTCATTGAAATCAGTTCAGTAGTTTAGGAGTTCATCGCGGACAAACAACGTGACACATTTTTTTTTTGGTGATTTGATAATTTACAATAATCGCCATTTACTTTGATCTTGTACCGCGCGGTCATATGAACTTAGCCTAATACAGGGCTTTTTCTGCCGACTTCCAAAAAGGAGCCGGTACTCAATTCGACTGAGTTTTTTTTTTCGTTTTTTTTTTTATGTGTGTTACCTCAGAACTTTTTTCTGGGTGAACCGATTTCGATGATTCTTTTTTTATTTGAAAGCTGGTACTTCTCGTGTGGTCCCATATGAATTTGATCAAGGTCAGACCAATAGTTTTTAAGTTATTCTTAAATAACTTATATTGAAGTCGGCTGTACAAAATTTTTAATTTTAAATTATTATCAGCAGTAATAGACACTGACCTCACCTATAGCAGGAATTTGTTATAATAGACACGTTTGACAGCTGGATTAGCAGTCGATTTGCTTGACATGTAGAGGCGGGGGCCGTGTGGTGGTGGTGTAAGAATAACCACTACCCCATATCATCCCGTGGGTGTCGTGAGGGACGACATAGGGAGACAAATCAGGAGATGAGCAGCAGCGCCTTCCTAATAACGACTAAAAATAAAAATAAAACTGCAGTTGCCAACCCGCTTGCTAAGCACGATAATTATGTCAAATTTTCTTCCTATGAAACAATCTGTGGTGGAAGCCTATTTTCTGCCGACTTCCAAAAAGGGGACGGTACTCATTTCGACTGTATGTTTTTTATGTGTGTTACCTCATAACTTTTTACTGGGTTAACCGATTTCGATGATTCTTTTTTTATTTGAAAGCTGGTACTTCTCGTGTGGTCCCATATTAATTTGATCAAGGTCAGACAAAGAGTTTTTGAGTTATTCTTAATAACTTATATTGAAGTCGGCTGTACAAAATTTTTAATTTTAAATTATCAGCAGTAGACTTTAATAAGCTGTAACGGTAACGGTAGTTTGATGATCTATGTCCTATGTCCTCTCAGTAGAAAACATAAACATGACGCATATTGTTGGCAGTTGGCACGACAACCACGCACCTGACAGTGGTTAGGGTCAACAGTGACCCGGCGCCGGTGAAGGACCACCAAGTGCCGGTGTTCCTCTACAGCCGACAGTCCTTCGTTGCCGACCAGTGGGACTTGACTACCAACCAGGTGAGTGCGTTTTATTTATTTATTTATTGGATGTACACAACAGTTTATATTCACTTTTACGTAACATAAATAAGTACCTAATATTTACAAAGTTTTGACCTGGAATACAAACCAAAAACGCGTACATATACAGTTGCAACATGCATTATATGTAAACATATATATGTAAAAACAATTTTATGACACTTGTTTTGTTTGACAATTTCTTTTTAAATATAATTAAAGACGATAAAAATGAATGTGGAGTTGACTTGAAGTAGTGGAACAGTTGAGTGCGAAGCTTATTTATATTATTGTCAAAGACGTCAGTGTCCCTACCTGCCTGACTCTGTGAAAACCATATCATTATAAGACCCGACACATTTGTGTTAAAGGATTGTAATGCATCATAATAAGTTTTGGGATAAACAAGGTTAGTGAGCAAGGGTCTTTGTGAAGAATAAAATACAAGAATACCTACTTTGATTGTGTGTATAAAGAAAGATATAGAATCTGTGAAGAAAATCGCGCTTGGCGCGCGGATTCTATATCTTCACGCGAGTTTTACTACCCTAAGGCAGGCCCGCCAAGAACGGCTGGTGTTTGTAGGGTCGCAGATGTATGAGTGGTAGGGGTGAGCATTACGACGTCGATCACTTTACAAAGACCGTTTTGTGTTCTGCGACGATGAAACCGTTTTACGTCCTGGGTTCAAAAAGTCTTCGTTGCACAAGCCAGTGTTCTAATTACTTGGTGCGATTTTTTATTTTACGCCTCTGAAAATATAGTCCAGAACGCAATGATTCAACTATCTATCTCACTCTTCGCGTCGTCATTCTTAACATTCGTCTTTGGTTCCGCGTTCGTTTACAAACGTAGACAGACAAAACAGGCTTTACCTAGTTGTAAGAAACTGCAACCATTTCACTCTACGAAAACGCAATTCTATTCTATGTTGAATAAGTTTCGTCCTATAAGCCGTCTTCAAACCGGTTGCAACGACGACCGTTTTCTGCAACCGCTTTCGTCGTCGGGAAAACGGTTGCGTTTCGTCCGTCAAAAATTCGACAACGACACACCACTAATGAATGGATACCTATGTAGAATACCATGGGATTTTCTTCAGTGCTAGTCCGTCCGACATAACCCTAATGAAATGTATAAATATGTACCCAATCAACTGTCACGTGCTGTTGAACGTCTAAGTGATATACAAATAGACAAATATAATTGCGCATGTATGGTTTCTCCGCTTAGAGCAAATTAAGTGTATATTGAATTCGGGGCGGGACGAGGAAAGTAGAATCACAATAGGGATAGGTGGATAGGGATTCTGTACCCAGTGAACCCGCGGCGTGAAGACCGACAGGTTGGTGGGAAATCCTTGATCAATCCCCTCCACCCACCCCCTCACCCCCCTCCCTAACTTCCGTACACCGCCTCACGCGGTTACTTGCTCAGTACGACTATTCGACAAACCTGTGCGCGGGTAAAAGTTATAGTTAAGGGATGTTCTTCTTTGGCTTTTCTTGATAGAATTCTACCAGTGTCATAACATAAGAGTTATCAATTTTACGAGTGAATTCACAATCTTATTACATCTTCTAACTTTGTCAAAATTAAGATAATTAAATTAATAGTAAAAGACATTTCTAAAAACAAGCTTTTATTTAAATGCTCTAAAAAGAAGTAAATAAACTTTACCCAATATCTTATATCTATACAATTAAATAAAATTGAAGTGTCTGTTTGTAATGTCAAAACAACAGCTTTTTACTAAATGCATGTGAAATTATATATAGTACTCTAATGCACAATTTTTTTAATTTTTGTCAGTCTTTCTATCTATTTGTTCCGGCTAATCTCCTAAATGGCTCGATCGATTTAGACGGGACTTTCACTGGCAGATAGCTGATGTTATAAGGAGTAACTTAGGCTACTTATATTTTAGAAAGAGAATTAGAGTATCGCGTGAAATAATTAAGTCACACGCGGCACACAGCTAGTTGATTACTAATTTAACAGTTTAATATTGTTAATACGAATAAAATCACACATAATACAATAGGCGCTCGGTAATCCGGCGGCCGGCGCTCACTAATCCGACACGTCCAATAGTACGGTGTTTCCAACTTAGGGGGCGTTACATGAAACGTTTTTGGGGGTTGAGTGGCTCAAGCTGAACCTCACCTAACCTCATGTGGGGGATGGGGGGGGGGGTCTCAGCAAATATCGGACAAAAATGTTAAATATGTAACTCTGACTTTTAACTAAAAAAATGTAAATTTTACGAAAGTTGGCCTACTAAAGTACCTACTAATACGAGTACTAATAACTACTAACTAGTAAAGACGTTTTTACTTTGCAAAACTGTGTTAAAATAATTTCTTATTAGCTGGCTGACATTTTCTATAGAAATCCAATAATCCTCCTAAATATATTGGATTGGATAATTGGAGAAAAAACTTGTGTCGGATTACCGAGCGCCTACTGAATTTGCAAAGGGAGTATCTTAGAGTATTTATAAACATAGCATGCTTATAAATATGGGAGTATACATTAGGGACAGCAAATATAGGAAATTTACAGGACGCGGGAAGTAGTTGGGCAGGGCTCCCGATCGTGTGACTTCTTTAAAAATAATTGAGTTCGTTTGCCGGTGCTAGAGCCGGAGGATTTTTAAGGAGGTACTAATAATCTCGACTAGTGTTAGGTCAGAGGCTTAACGCTCGTAAATTTTACAGTAAGCGAGTAACCCGGGTGCGATCCTCGCTGGAACCAATGAAATTGTTAAATGCAATCTAAAGTACTGATTCACCTCGTGCTCGGGAGTGTAGGAAAACATCGTGAGGAAACCTGCATGTCTGAGAAATAAAAGAAATATTTCGAAGACGTGAAAAGTCAGCTAACACGCATTGAGGCAGCGCGGTGGATGTTTCCTTGCCGTAAAACCGTCTCTGAAGTGAGAGGTCTGTGCCCAACAGTAGGACGTTATAATATAGGCTGTAACTTCACTTTACTTTTACTAATAATTGTTCATCGATGAAGTAAACATTGTGTGGAAACCTACTAGTTAAAGAAATAAAAATATATTATAGGAACTTTCTCATAACAAAACAACATGTTTATGCGTAACTATTTATATATAGTCTATTTCTTTTGTCACCGCGACATTGAATCGTGTTATATGCGAAATTGCAGATTCCACTGTCTCATAAATAGAAACAAAAGCGACACGCCAACCAAGCGGTGAAACAATTGCGACAATAAACCGAGGCAGATCATTGCTCTTTTGTTATAACATCGCTGAGCGATATATATAGAAATATATATACACGTTGTTAAGAGCCTGTAAATCATGACGATTGTTGGTGTGCTTTGCGAGTCCAACATCTAGGCTGGAATGTGTATAATATGTTACAGTCAAAATTCATAACCGGTCAAAATCTCTTTTAACTGCAAAAATCAGGCATAAATGGTTTTGACCGATGCCCTTAGTCAAAAACAGTTTTGACTGATTTTTGTAGTCAAAAGCGGTTCTGACCAACGTTCTTTGTCAAAAGTAATTTTGCCTGATTTAATGTTCAGACTATCGGTCAAAACTCGCAATATCAGTGACAGTAGGTTAACGTGCGGCTGGGTGGCCCCTGGGCCAACCTTAAGTCGCGTACAATATCTTTATATATAAAAATTACGTGTCACGTTGTTTGCCCACGATGAACTCCTAAACTACTGAACTGATATCAATGAAATTTTGCACACTGTGTGCAGTTTGGTCCAACTTGAGAGATAGGATAGTTTTTATCCCGATAAGTGACCCTCAATTTTTTATTGCTAACCTCAGGAGTTTATTTTAGGAAAGTAAATGGTCGTCAGAAAGGGCAGAACAACGTCTGCCTGGTCAGCTAGTAATAATATAAAAAATAAAATTAAAAAAAAATCTTCAATATTATCTTTTGATTGCATCGTATTGTCATCGCATCATATTGTAGGGCATCGGTCAAAATAATTTTTGCCTGATTCTTGCAGTTAAGTGGTTTTGACGGGTTATGAGTTTTGACTGTGACATATATTCATAACGTGGTATAAATTCAATTTAAGATTGATTTATGTTGTTGTTGCGCATTGTCCACGCTGACTTTAGAATATTACCGATAGTTGTCGCTTGTGTATACTTTATTTCAGCACGTGTAGTCGTAAATATAGACAAACTCACGCGTAGGTACTGTTGTACTATAAATAATATCCGATATCCGATGTAACGATTCTGGTATGCCATCGGAATCAAGCTCCTTAACAATATTACATGTTTTAATAGTGTAAGGATAATCAAACATGCACACAGTCCTCCTGTTGGATAACGGATGCTGGAGCTCACAGCTACACCAACACCCATCCTTGATGAAGAAACAAAACTCAGATGTGCTGTCACCCTTGAGGACTAAGAAGAAATGTCTTACTCATTAAATATCAATTTTAATCTTATTATTTAATTTAATAATATTTATTCTGTTCTTCGTACTGAAACTTTTTCATTACTTGAATATATTTTATATTGTATAACAAATGATGGATCGCAGCGCGACTGGATCTTTTCCTTTTAAACCACCTTTTGACATGTCGATCACAATAAATTTGATTTGATTACGGGCTATAAAAAGTTCATCAAGTTTTAATTATTATCGGTTGTTATCAGGAAAATGTTGCTGCCCATCTTCTGTTTTTCCTGTGTCGCTTCCTACGACACCCACGGGAAAATATGGGGTAGTGGATACTCTTACGTCGTCACTACATGGCCATGTCTCATCGAGCAATAACCAGGGAATTTGAACACTTGAGGATTAGGATAGCCACTACCCATAGATGATTTAGTAAATGATCCTCCTTCATTGGTATCATATTAACCAAAATAGTTACAGTCACAAGGGCGAACCTAATGACTTTTGGGCTTTTGGCATTATCTGCCAATCATCAATTATTGGCACAACCTAACAAATTTTGCATTTTGGTAAAATTAAAAA